AATAACATATATAAACTTTGTAAACGCTCTCTAGGCCAAAGTTTATATATGTTATTGCGAACAATATTACCTACAGCCCCAGTGGTCGAGCTGGTTAAGACGCCCACACGGATTGAGGGAGGTCCCAGGTTCGAATCCTGGCTGGGGTAATATTTTTCGCAATAAGAATTTTATTAAAGGGGGGAAGGGGGGAAGGGGGTTATCATATTAGATGCTACTGTGTAGCATTATTAAAATAATTTATAAACGTGAATTCACTGACGATACCACTTCCACTTACGGGGATTAACCGGTGTTTTAAGACTAGTATGTAACTGGCGCACAGGATAAGTTGGAAAAGAATACGGTATATGAATTCCCTTAAATAATTTAATTTAACTGGCTACTTACACCTATGCCCGGTCCTAAACGGCCTCTTTAATTTCTAAATGAAATTATTAATTAATCAATTATTAAATAATCATTAACCTCTTGATTTATGTTGTTTGTATGTTTTACAAGTAATATTTAATGATATACAAAATTATGTATATATATATATATTTACAATTATTTGCATTAATTACACATTACAGAATTACGAGAGTTGTATGGTAGATATATTTACAATATTATACAGTTCGGACAATGTGTTTACTTACGTCGCTTGAGAAATGGCAGTGCTGCTATCTATAATGTTCTGACCAACATAATTTCCCACAAAAATACAATACATTAGTCCAAATATCACTGCACTGCTTAGAAATATTTCCAATTTTTCCCAGGATGTTAATGCATTAATTACCTTGAATTGAATATTATTTATTAATTTAATTTTATAACTTCTGTAATTTTATATTTGTATATCATCATAATAAATAATTTTTCCAATAAATGATATAATATTCTGTTCGTTTGCATTTACACTTACATTGCAGAAACTGAGACTCATCAAAGCCACAGAACATACTAATAACACGATATAGAACATCGAAAAACTGTTCGTTAGAATATTGGCTGAACTTTAACAACGAAATATGTATTAATTTTCATTCGTAACAATAATATTTTGGCCTTGCGCTCAGCCTTTTTTGCAAGGATTTTTAGACATATTTAATTTAAAAAATGGCAGTTTATTAAATTCTGCTGTTTTTAGCGTTGACGATTAGATGTTATATGAACACAAATTCATATTTGTAATATATCGCGACATTAATTTTGTCTTGTCCAGGCAAAGTAGGTTATGAGTGCAAAGGAATAATATAATTTAATACTAACTCCATAGCTCGACGATGAATACACACAGCATGAATTAAATTGTTGTAAAGCATTGACTGTTTAATGTCCGTTAGCATTAATTGTACATTTTTGTTAATTGTACATGTATGTTCCATTTGATAGCTATGAAAATACAGATGTGTGGATACTATACGTGTTCTTATATTAGATTTTTACATAAATCAATAAAGTTTGTATGTGTGAGTATGAGAGAGAGAGAGAGAGAGAGAGAGAGAGAGAGAGAGAGAG